GAATAGAAAGGTTTGTCCTGCTTTTAGGTAGCCCTCCCTGCCATCTTTTAAATCCACTCAGAGACAATACATCCAGACCAATCAAAATGCCCTTTTTGTTGGTAAGGTGAAATAACAGCTCTGCTGGTCGTGGCTGTAGTGACTGCAGAGCTCAGCAGCATCCTTGGTGTCTGTCTGCCTGCATGACCTGATTCAAGGCTGGTGGGAAAGGTAGGGTGAGGGTGTTCCTATGTGTTGTCAAACACTGCAGGTTCTGGTTTGGAAAGCAGAGCATGTCTTTGTGCAGGCTCCCTACAGCTTTCTACTGCAGTGCATCCCACTTAGGACAGTAGTAGGTGGTGGAGTCCTGCAGAGTTACTTTGCTCACTGTCAGGGTGCAGACAGGTTTGCTGGGGTCCTTCTCAATAGTAAACCACCCCTCATCAGACTGTTTTTTAAGGAAAAGCCAAGAGGACAAGTATGCAATATGCTTGGGAGCTGCACTGGCCTTCTTCTGGGACCAATGAATGAAAATATTGCTAAGATCAGGGTCGGAGATGTGGCAGTTTATTAGCACCATTTTCCCTTCTGACTTGGTGACGAACATGGGGGTTTGTTGCAAGTCTTGTGCAGAACCACCTGTGGCAAAGGAAGAGAAAAATTAGAGGCACGAAGCTGAGACAAGAGACCATCCACTTGGCCACTGGCAGAGGTGCAGGCAGCAGGATGAGCAGGCAACAGGATAAGCAGAGCACATACAAAACTAAACAGCTGTCAGGAAGAAAGCACTCAGCAACCACATTGTCACTGCCAGGGCCAGAGTGAGGGCTGGGGCCAGACTCAAGAGGGGGTGAAGCAGATCTGAGTGACAGAAAACTATCCAATGGGTCTGTGCCTACTGCAAGTGTGATAAATAATGACGCACAAGCCATTTGCTTTGATTAAGACTCAAACAAAATCCAAAACCCACTATTGTAAGAAGAGTGCTCACTACTGAGAAAAAAATTTTTCTTTTTTTTTTTCCACTGGAAATTTGCTTGGATGATGAGTAAAGTCAGCTCTTTTTTTTAGCTTGCTCATTGTAGTGAAACAACCTAATTTCTTAACTCTCTTGTAAGAGAGACTGTAGACTGAGGTGCTGGATGTGTAGGTGTGTAGGTGTAGGATGATCTTTCATCCCATGATGATCTTGCAGGTCTCTTCCCTCCTTGATAATTCTGTAATACCTCTAAAGCTCCTCTTTTAACAGTTTGACCCTTTCATTTTGAACCTTGAATGGGATCCTGTAATACACCTTCTACCTGAAATCTTTGTTCCTACAGTCAGTGTTTGGATCTAACCAGTACAGCAAAAGAAAGCTCCAGTGTTTTCAAACTTTCAGTGAAGACTCTAGAAATTAAAAGATCGTAAATACACATCAAAAATATGTCTGACCATCAAACATCTTCCACTAACTGGCGCTACAGCTGCTGGTTCTCACTTTACTGAAAAGGTGGGATTTCTCTCTGCCTATAAGGGCAACTGCTTTTATACTACAGCTTTTCCCATGATCTTGGGAGCCTTACAGATTTTAGCAGTCTAGAATATATGTTTAGTTCTTCAGCTTAAATGGAGATGTTTTGTAGTAAGAACTTATATGACATCTGTATGTCCTCAGTAGTAATACACTCATTTTTGCTCATTTTTGTGTTCTCATGTTCTTAAACTGGCAAGAGAGCCCTGTTTAGAACAGGATTTCTATGTATCTCAGGTAGCTTACTATCCAATTTTTTAATCAAAATAGTGTACACTTCCCAAGCCAAATACAACACACGGGCCTAGCTAGTTTTAGATCAGCTGGCATTAATCAGGCAAAACAGAATCTCTTTAAAAAAAAGGTCAATACTGAGATCTGAGAACCTGCTGATGAACAGCCCCCTTCTGTGGGCCTTCAAGCACACTCAAAAAACCGGAGACAACCTGCACACAGAGATTTTTCTTTTCAGTCTTGCCTAACTCTTAATCAGCTTCTTTAGAATGAAAGACTTTCTGCTAAGGACCACAAGAAATTAACCATTTTTTAGAAAAAATTAAAATAAAACATTGACTCTTTCTTCCTGCAAACCCAAAACTGTACTAGGGGTTTCTCTCATATGTTTAATAAAAACATAATATCAGCCATAAGATATGGAGCTCCAAACAGTCCATAGTGTTAAATGATCTATTAGGTACAAGTTTGCCACCATGCAAGTCTGACTTTGGATGGCTTGATACAGCTCAGTGTAGACAACCAGCACATGGTTATGATGAGCCCAGTTGAGCCTTTTTTGAGACATAAGAAGTCTAACAGTTGGAACTGAATGCAGTGTTGTTTGTTGGTCTGATTTCAGCTAGGAAATTTTAAGTTAGCAATTTAATAGTACTTTCTGCATGGACAGGTGTATCACAGCAACTATGAAGAGAATGTAAAAACATAAAATTGCTCAGTAATCAATTACAGTGATTAATAAAAATTTAGATAATAAGGATTGCTCTCTAACAGTCTTTTTGTAGAAGGTTCTATATTGACAAAATATTCAGGTCTGGGCTCTTCCTCTGTTGAAAACTTAGAACTTTCTGAGATGATAGGAAAATCAAGTCTGCTGTGTCACCAAGGCAAACAAGATTAGGAGGTGTGTGCTGGAATGAAGGAACTGTAAATAAATGCATGAGCACATTCGTCAAATGTTAGGAGACCTTAGGCTGATCTGGAACACCACAGCTATCTCAGATAAGTAAAGACTCTGCTCCCCACCTGAGTCACCCCACCCCACTGCTCCTGGCTGGCTGGAGACACCTGAATGCAGGTTTGCACCTTCCCCAGTTCTTTGTGCCCTTGCTTGCTTGCTGTTTGCTTCCTTGCTTTCTTTTTCTCCCTCTTCTTCCTTTCATTATCTGTATCTGCTACCATTCAGGTCAATAATCAAGATATTACTGGCTTCAGCAGAGTCAACCCAGCCTTTTCTTGGGAACATAAACAACCAAGGTGCAGGAAAAGACAGTAATTTCCACTTTGGCAGGAGCTGAACCCACTGTAGGAAAGTGCTGTGGCTGTCTTCTGGATTGCTACAAATCCTACCAAGGTAAGGAGCTCTCCCTCTCATTTCTGCTGGACTGTGGCTGTGGCAAAGTGCTGAGAAGTCGCTACGATGGTAAGTCAAAAGGGAGTTACAAGAAGGGACTCTATCTCCCACCGACAGTGAAAATCCCATTACCCATACAAAGTTTGGGAAAAGTACCTTCTAGAAGTGCAGCTGTTTCATGTTTCATGCAACCGCATCAAAACTACTGTCATCGTGTAGAACTTGGCATACAGAGCTGTTAGATCTTGAAGGAATACTTTGCTGTTTTACTGTCTAAATGGCAAAAAATAGTCAGAAGTGAAGGCCTGTTGCAAATGGAAACAATGTTTGTGGCATTCAGAGTGGGATAAAACAACCCCCAAGTTACATAAGTTTATTCTGTAAGACTGAAAAAAACCCGTAAGATCAACAGCAGTGCTTCATTAGTCCAGGGCTTGTGCATCACTGATGCTAGGGACATACACATTAGAAGTTTCTTACCTTGACCCCTGACTTTATGTGAGGTCTAAGAGGCAACATAGGCTTGAAAATCCTGGTCTACTCTTAGGCTCTTGCTGGAACATGTAGACAAACACAGTACACCGGGGAATGAAGTTCTTTGCAGCTCAGCATCTGAAAAATATCCACCCTCTGACACAAATCATCATCATCATCATCTTCTTCTTC